TTTATAAAGCTTCATTCTAACATCACTCCAGGGTACATACTACAGAAAATAAAGGGAGAGGTATATGGAATAAACCAATGAAAAGAAAGAAAGAACAGAATGAAGACCATTATTTAGTGCAAAACTGAAGCTGACAGGGGAACTATACAGAAGGGAGAAAGAGGATACCTGTATGAGGAGAGCAATCAGGTTTCCAGGGGATATGTTACACCATGAAATTCAGTCCCCAGAAACCAAACAGCTGGTCATTGTACAAGACGTGTGGTTTTCATGGCATTGCAGGTTGTACACATTGGCCAAAAACATCTCTTCTAAATGTGTTTATCAAGTTTTTTTGTATTCCCAAAATCAAAGGAGTAGCTTTTTAGTTGTTTTTTAATAATTTTTAATCATTTCAATCACAAGCACAAGTGGAATGTGGGGGGAGTGGAGGACTGTAGCAATACTGAGGTCAGCTAGTTAGTGAGCATAGCTGACATTAACTACCGTCTACAAATACAGACACATACTCTCTCCACGCTCTCTCCACTCTCTCTCTCTCAGAGACACACACACACACACACACACACACACACACACATATCTAGGACACAGGGGGGATTAGCTGTATTAGTGCAGGTTGAGTGGGAAGCATAAGTCAGGTCTGAGTGGTCTTTTCAGTGTTCTCTTTTGGTTCGTCCTCCCTCATCCTGTTCGTTCTCTCTGTCTGTTTTCCCTTTTCTCTTCCCTTGGAAGTTCAGTTCTAAATGGACACCTTTATTCCTTTTAATTGATTCGTTTATGCCATCTGTCATGGGGTCCTGTTGTGTACTGTAATAGAGATGATAACTATTGCTGTACAGCACCATTATCCCATGGTCTGAACTCTGCTATTCCCTACATGCTGCACTGTGAGCTGTATACTCACTGTGTGAGTGTGTGCATTTGAGAATGTGTGTAAGTGTGTGACTGTATGCATGTTTATGCATATGTTGCTGTCAGTGTGTCACTGCCTGAATATTCAGAAAGGGATGAGGAGTTAATTACAGTGGGTGTCTGCCACACTGCTCTCAACTCACAGCACAACTGGAGCAGAAAGACAGCTATCTGAATACAGTGAGCTCTCCATGGGCAGCACTGGCATTGCTAGCAGGAGGGAGCATCTTATTTGAGAGAACCAACAGTATCAGCAGCTAAATTCGCATCAGAGTGACTGGTGTACAAATTTTATCCATTCAAACAACATATTGAGAGACAGTGAATGTGACCAGAATGTGAGGTTGTGAGAGAGGGACAGCCAGTGATCTGGCTGGTGTGTAGGGTTTGGCGATTGACTGCTGATAAGAGGGATCCAGTCCTTTTGATAGGCTAATACTAGTGTTTTGAAACAGATGCGAGCCATCACCAGTACCCAGCCAGGGAAGATCAGGAAGAGTAGGACATGGCAGACCTGGGGGTCATTAAAGACAAACTGAGCAGGAGCATTCTGAATGAGCTGCATGGGTTTGATCGATCATGCATGGAGTGAAGCAAGGAGGCAGTTGGAATAGTCAATGCAGGGGAGAAGCAGGGTTGGACCATGAGTTTAGGTGAGAAAGAGTAGGTTAGGAAGAGGGGAATTCTGTTCACTGCATGGTTGAAATTTTTCAAGTAGCCTTTATTTTTAACATTGAACACTGCGGTGGAAAGTGGTAGATTCAGTTTTTTGTGAATTCTTTTCCCAACCTGCTGAGGTCAGTGACAATTTTCCTGTAGCCTTTGGAGACCACTCTGGCTTTACACCACGATAATTCACACTATTAATAAAGTTCATCTGTGTGTTACTTCTTTTCATACCCTTTGGAAACAGGAAACCTTTAGAGACTTCTGTGTCACTGCAGAATCTTGAATCAAACAGAATGTTGCTGTACATTTTTATCATCTTAATGCGTATTTGTTGGCATATTTTTTGCTTCTGTGTAATCAAGGTAGAGGAAATATGTAAGTAAAGATGGAGTCATATGTGGGGATGTGAATTTGTGAACATGAATATATGATTAGAGCTTTTGACTGAGTGCAATAACCATTTTGCAGTGTCTCCAGCAAAATGAATTGACTGTTGCAAACAATCCACACAGCAGCTGAGGTACTGAGAGCTTTTTGTTTTAATGGAGTCAAGGCTTTCCATGTGAGCACAAGAACGTGACAGTTCCTGCAGTGTACCTTATCAAAAGGATACATTAAAAGTAGGGGTGCAACGAATAATCAACATTGTCGACGAAAATCGATGATCAAATTAGTTGCCAACGAATTGAATTGTCGATTAGTTGGTGACGTCATCGCGTGTTTTTTTTCATGCTGACTCGGAATGCTCAGACATATAGCCTAAGCTACGTTGCTTTACTGGAGTGAACAATACAGATGGCAACACCTTCACAACCAAAGACCTCAAAAGTGTGGCAGCATTTCACTTTTAACCCTTTCGCACGTAACTTATTTTTTGTCGCACGCCTGTTATGTTACATAGTTGTTATATTTTCATTAGCGTTATTAAGCTTCTCATAGTTTTCAGTTAGCATTTCCTATACTTTTTAATGTTAAATCACTGTTTCCTCAAAGCTAAAATTAGCTAGAATTTTTCCAATCTAGTTTTATAATCGCACGGGTTTTAGCATACCCGCTAAACAGCTAATCATACCGGTGTGACCGGACGCGCGAAAGGGTTCAAATAATAACCTATTTTTCACAACGATAATGTTCACATTCCAAATGTGCCCTAACTTTACAATGTTAAATGAGAGCCCGTCTGCTATTTAGAAATTCTCTGCTTAAACACTGCATCGTTGTCATGGCGATGTTTATAGCTGGAGATAGTGTTGCTGCTGAGTACACAAGTTTAGAGAACACCGGAGAATGTGATACTTTCTAAATCGTGAAATATTTCCGTTCTTTTTATCGAGCCGTTCTTTTTATCGTTGCGCCCACATTTCACTGCCTGCTCTAAATCCATTTAGTGTAGCATAGTGGATAAGGTGCAGGAGTCGTAACCAGGAGGTTACTGGTTCGATCCAGGGAGAGAGAGAAAGATTTTTTTTTTTTTTTCCCTCCAGCTCTCTACCTTTCAAAGCACAAATACACAAAGCTGTAGGATCTGGCTCCCTTCAAGCTAAATTTAAAAGCTGATAGATGAATAAGAGCCATTGAGTAATTGTGCGATTCATAATCCGAATAGTCGATTAATCATTTCAATAATCGATAGATTATTCGACTATGAAAATAGTCGTTAGTTGCAGCCCTAGTGATTTGTTTGGGATGGAAACAAACTTTGGTCTTACTGGTAACATTTTTTCCGCTGTCTCACAACTCATTACCTCACACCACACAGATTTTCCAGATACCATTTCTCTAAAAATGCTGTAGATAATAAGTTTTTTCAGTTTTCCTCTGAACATATAGGCCTACAGCAAGAAAAGAACGTTATTGCAGTTAATCAGTAGGTTCATTAAATAAAAGTTTTATGACAGATTGCTTGGAAAGCAGAGCTTTGCTTTGCTGTTTACAACTTCTTGCAGCCATTTTCAGAGGCACTCACAACTAACAAGTTGGTTGTATGCTAGTGAGCTGTGCAATCCAATCACAGAGGTGTGCATGCAGCTCAGGAGGTACAATACAGCTGAAACCAAACTAGAATGAACTGAAACTGCTGTGTTGTGATATTTTCACATTTTTGCAATATTGGCCTTCCAGCTTTTTTAAGCCACTGGTTTGAAGATGACATCAATACTTCTTTAAAAGGATGTTGCAGGTTTTCATACCACAATAAAATTGTATTAAACCCCACTTTGGGGGTGGTCTTGGCCCACCATTGATAGGGCTTTCTTTGTGTTATAAAGATATATTTGGCTCTGTTATGGCTTTGTGGACAGCCTTTATTTACATCACACTGTCACTGATGTTACAGTCAAACTTCAATGCCAAGTTATCAGTACAGATGTAAAAACCTAAGGCAACTCATTAAAAGCAAGCTTCAATTATAATAGCTCAGATCAGCTATTCCTGTTTCTTTTCTTCTGTAGTCCCACACTCACATTCTCACAGGGGGATACTTGAATTGACACACAATGAAACAATAAAGGAATGCCATTTAGGAAACATTCACAAGTGCATTTATGTTACATATAGCTTGGAAAGCTAGTTTACATTCAAGAAACTCTTCACCCCATTATGAAAGAAATCATCATTACCAATGGAATGGATATCACGTGATTTTGCTGTATAGCTGCAAGCAAATTAGTATGAGGAAAACAAGCATATCTTATTGTGCTAGTTAGCTTACTGACAGGACACTATTAGTACTGTTTAAAAATATTTGAAATGTCAAATGAGCTGGCAACTACCTCTAACATTAGCTGAATTTTATCTGGTGCAGACATGCAGTATAAGACCCACAAAAGCACTGAGAGCATTTCAATAACCTGAATTTTCCTCACCTATGCAATTGGCTTTTTCTGTTTTAAAGTATGAACTACTTGAATAAATTTGTGTTTATTGAAAGTTAAGCTTGGTATTTATTCAGCAACACAGCACAGTACTATAATTCAGTACTCACACGTATTTTGTTACAACAGCATGACAGCCACGTGCCCAGTATCATGTATTGGGTAGCTTGTACTGGTGTTCAAAGGTAAAGTGCAAATGTGGTCACTACAAACAGTTTTCAACCACGATTGCTTTTCTTACCCATTTTCTCTCAACTTGGAATGCTCTGTTTGTCAGACAGGCTGTCCCTTGCTCCAGCGCTCACTGACAACAGGGAGGGTGCAGACAATCATGTGCTGTCCTCCGAAACACATGATATCTCCGTAGCTTCTTTACACACCGTAGTCCCCAAGCTTGCACAGGCATGAGTCAGGAAGACACTTCATGCTCGGCTCACCCTGCGGATGTGGGATTGAGCAGCAGGGGTTGCTGGACAAACCACTGGCCCCCAACCTCCAGACCGCTATATCCCTTTGCTGTGGACTCCTGGTCATAATGGTTGATGACACAGCTGGGATTGAACCCGGGCTGCAGGGGCCTGCAGCCTGCACTTGAAACAAGTGCTCTTACCAACTGAGCCACTTTGGGTCAGTTTGAGTCTTTGTTTTTTGATTTGCAATTGAACATATAACATATTACATAACATATTACTCAAGGTATAATACACACTGGTAGATAAGGCCAGTATATACAGCTGTATGGATAATGAAAATGGTAAGCTGTATAAGTTGCTCTGGATGAGAGCACTTGTTCAGTAAATTCAGTGCAACATCAGTGTAAAGTCACACCCCCACCATGAAATCTCACAAGAAATTCTGATTTCATGTTAGCATGCACTCTATTCACATAGCATTCAGATATTTATGTTAATAAAATGTGCACATGTTTACAAATCAGAGTGCCAAAGTCATTATTAAGACAGTAACTGCATTTCTTGTGTTGACAAGTATGTAAAATAGCAGCACTTCATAACAGTATTTCTGGGAGAAGTATTAGCCCAGTGTAACAGTAACTATAGTAATACCAATAATAATTGAAATTACTGTGTGTGACATAAGTCCAATTCAAACCATGTGCATTTCTGGTCAGCAATGGATTAGCTTGAAATGAAAACAAATTACATGAAAGTGCTATTCAGAATTCATTTCTCTGTATTTAATATAATTTACTACTAGTCTTTCTAGCAATGCTCTCATTTTGGCCTGTTATTTTTCACATGCAGAGACTGTGACTGACACATCAGGAAGTAAAAAAATGCCAGTTTGGTTCATTACTACATATTCATTTTCTGGCGAGGACTTTGCCCTCTCATTGGCCATCTTAATTAGTTCTCTGCTGAAATTGTGTTTTGCTTGGGATTTTCTTCTTAATTATGAAAATAAGTACATACAATTCTTCAAAACATTATCAGACTGTGTTGACTGCACTTTCAACATTTACTTAGAATCCTTTTTCAGGTAACAGAATTCAATGAATCATAAAGTTCAAAAACAAGAATGATGGCAATCTATATGTAAATTAAAAAGGCTGTGAGATAAGGAAGCTTGCTAGGAAACAGATATACAAAAATTTTTATGTAATATTGGCATCTGTATAGCCTATATTTGTAAATCAGTCACATTTACCAGGAATTTAATTCCTTGAACACTGAAGACAATCACAAACACAGAATGTCTATCAAACAGAATAGAATATTTATACTACCTGTAAAAAATTGATTAAACAATGCAGCTAATAACACTAACTAGCCTACAAAAATCATTTTCATTTCACATTGAAGTGCAGGACACAAGGTTTCACATTAATGGCGTCTCCTTTTCATAAGATTTAAATAGTGTACACAGTAAAGGCTGTAATTGGTTGTGCCCATGCTGTAGATAAATATGTTGACAACTGAGCTGACTTTTGTTCTTTTCATCAGCCTATCAGGTCATATGTTTTTTATACATGTGCATTTATGTCACTATTAACAGCCACTTCATTTCTTTGCACTGACCTACAGTATGAAACCAAGAATTCAGCTGATCCCAGGAGTAATTACAGGTGGAACAGTAGTAGCTATTGCATAGGTAAGTGTGTTGCAGGTGAAGAGCAGCTGCAGTGAGTCAGTAACTTGCCATCCTATAATGTTCATTCAGATGCAGTCAGATTTTTATAGCATGAAGTCCATTTGTTAGTTTCAGTTCCCATCGACTACCTCAATATAGTCTCACTGACTGGTTATGTCTCTGGGTAAGAGCATCTGCTTACATGTGCACATACTAACACAAACACATTACACTCTCTGACATCCGCAGGGACAGATACATTAAGAAGAACACATAAATCCTTTAAGTTGTTGCTGTATGATTTCAGACCTCCATCTGCACATCATTTTCTCTCACACATTAATTTTAACTGTTTGGATATGCATTGTGTAAGTAACTGGCTCAAGGGACTATAGAACTGAATGACACAAATGATGCAGCTGTATAGTGAGTGAGGAATGGAAGGATAAAAAGGGTAGGTGTAGCCAAAGGCGAGAGCAGTCACCCCACCCGGTCTTGAACCCGGGTCTCCGGGGTACCAAACATGCGACTTTGACCGCGACGCCAAAGAGCCAGGCTCGTTGGTATGGTAGTCAGAGCGCATACTCAACCGTAGTGACAGCACTCCGTCATACTGCCCTCCCCTTCGGGAAGCGCACCCATGCGCTTCACGCACAGAGGCGTCCCTCGCGCATTCTCCCACCATACTTCTCCCATCCCAGGGTACCCTTCACCCATCTCTGGGGTCCCTCACACCGTGCTTCACCCATCTCTGGGGTCCCTCACACCGGGGTCAACTAACCTGGGGGTCCCTCATATGGCTCACACACTGGGCACGCCATTTGTAGCGAAAGGCGAGAGCAGTCGCCCCACTCGGCCTCAAACCCGGGTCTACGGGGTACCAAACATGCGACTTTGACCGCAACGCCAAAAAGCCAGGCTCGTTGGTATGGCAGTCAGAGCGCATACTCAACCGTAGTGATGGGGCTCCGTCACAGTAGGACTTATAGAGTTACCAAAGACTTAATTCTCACTCACAAATCCTGTATTTGAATTCACTGAGAAGGATAGCAGGGGAAAATTGAGCTATGCGAACACTGGGGAACCCGTCAAGACTCTCTTACACTCAGTCAGCTCTGCCTGACCCCAGAGCCTAACCTGAACAGGTTTGAGGTCCAAAAGCGTCTCACAGGTCTGGAGGGGTCAGACCAGGGCTCATCCTGCCTGTGGCATGAGTTACGGGCCTATGCAAGCCTGAAGCTGAATCCTCACAGGACTGCTGCACAGACTTCTGTTTCTGTATTCACTGTTCTGGGACCAGCAAAGAGGCTGAAGGCCCTGGGATTAACCAGTCAATAGCCCCTATCAGACATACACTGCAACCCTGAACTTATCTACACATTACTCGGTGGAGCTGTATGTGAGATCGCAAGTGTCTGAATCAGTTGGACTGGACATTAAACGGACTTTACCCTGCCAGCTCCCTAGTACAAAGTCCGTGTAATGTCCGATAAAGTCCATGTGTGAATAAAGCAGGTCATTGTCCGGAGAATTTACAGCAAGCGAGGGGGCGTGTTGATGACGTTTCTATCATGCGACTGGTGCGAAACCAGAAGAATACAAACATCCGAGGATGAAGAAGAAGGGTCATTTACACGAAGACGCCAACGAAAATGTCTAACTGGAGAGATGACGAGATTCTGGAAACTTCAGTTGGTAATGGCCGACACCGAAATCGTGAGACAAATTCAAGGAACGGCAAGAGACTCGGTTGTTTATGACCAAATTACAAACCGGCTACGTGTAAACAAAACACTGCGATTTCTGCAGCGTACTTTTTGCGTCAGGTCCTGCCTCGTGCACACTCTACCCAGGCACCACTCCTGGCCTAAACCAAATGAAGTATTTCCAATAGGTGAGAACGCGTCTGACAACTCTCCTGTTGTTTGCTACACATGTGAAAGGGCAACTCCGGACAATGTCCGGATCTGATTCTCCGGACAATGTCCGGATCTGATTCTCCGGACATTGTCCGGATCTGATTCTCCGGACAGTGTCCGGATTTCATATGAGAAAAAGGGCTAATGTGTCAGCAAGAGTCTGGCAGTGAGCAATAATAATAATGCCATAAACCTAAATGTTTAGTTTGGATATTGTAATACCTATGTTTATCTTTAAAATATATGAAAACCTAAGTTTTGATTTAAAAAGATGACACACATTCTTTTGCAAGTACAAGCATATGATATGTGTGTGTACATGATATGGAGCACACATAGGCTTTTAACAGTACCAGTAAGTGTGGCGTAGATGTATATTGCATTGGTGAGTGACTACTTTATTCACTCTCTAGATGCAGAAAGACTCCCACTGCCATTATGTCCTGACAATAGCTCACACAATAGGACTCTTTCATAGCTAAACTGGCCACCCCCTCCCTTTCTTGCTCCCTGTTTCTGTCTCTTTGTTGCTCTCTCTTTCTCTCATTCTTTCTTGACCAGCATAAAGGTTATGCAGTTATGCAGCTTATATCCATCCATCTCTCTTTGTCACTTTGCCACTTTACCTCTTTCATCTCATATAGTTTGCCTTTCCTTCTACCTTTTTATTTTTCTTTTCTTCATTTTTTATCAAAATAAAATCTATGGAACTGTCTTCCACCCTGCTAATGATTAGTGATATGGTCTGCACTTGTTTATTTATCACAGTGGCAGTTTTGACAATAACTGCAATGTATGACCACAATGATGATAGTGTACCAAGAGCTAATTGTGTATTTTCAAGGCTAACACATTAAATGGTGATAATTTTTTTTGGAAAAAATCCAATGTAGATATGACTCCATGTAGATGACTGTACGTACTGCTTGGACAGGTGACTGCTTGTTTCCCAGCCAAGAGTGATAAGTGTGTGTGTTTGTGTATACGCACATGCGCGCATATGTGTGGGTGCATGCCTATTTTGTGTTTGTCAGCCTGAATCAATGTGGCATGGCTGATAATTATCATAATGAATGTTGCTGACCCTGAGTGACCCAGGGCTGCCGCACACTCTGTGCTGAGGGAGACAGTGACAAGCTGATGAAACTAGAACAGAGAGCTGGTAGAGGGGAGGAGCCAGACAGAAAAGGGAGAGAGGGACACCCACAAGGGAGTCTCCTATCCTTAGCAGCAGCAGTGAGGCTGTATTTCCTGCTTTCAGTTGAATTTTCAAGAGCAACAGAGGCGTGTCAGTCACAGCAGACAGGGGGAGGGGAGGAGAGGTGGCCCCCATAGCAACTTCCAAAAAAGGACAGAGGAGAGGAGACTTGAGGCTGAGTAGATGAGACAGGAACTGGGAATAGATGAGAGAACAGGGGCGGGGGGGGGGTTGGGGTAGGGTTAGGGTCAAAGAACAGAGATTGTTAAAAACAGATAATCTTTGAAAGACAAACCTAGTAGAACATCTGCATGCTGCATAAGTTTCTTAATTCTTTTTAAATCAATGTCAGTGTAATGCTGAGAGCACAGAAAAGGACTCATGATGTGAGAGTTTTGTTTTTTACATGTCACTCATATCATT